TCCCCCAGCCTGGGTGCTCCCAGCAGTCGGCCCTCATGGGTGGGCTAGAACAGGGCACGGGGTCTGGGTCCTTCCATCTTGCTCCTGCAAGTGCTTTCTGGTTACAAACTGCCTTGGAAATTGGGTGCAGGCTGTAGAACCTCCCTGGTGCTCTGTGGTTCCTCCTTGTATGCTGGCTGTGTCAGGTGCAGAAGGAGGCTGTAACCAGCTCTGCGCAGCCCATGGTAGACGGGATGAGGCTGTTCTTCCATAGCCCTGTGACACCCATGCGCTCTAAAACTCACTCTACCGTGGCCCGCGTGCCCTCTGGGGCCACCACTAGCCCTGCACGTGTGGTCTGTGACCCTGTCCCCACAGCTGTGCACCATCATGGGGACAGCGGAAGCCTGCCAGAAGGAGAAGGGTTGTCTCTCCCCACATTTGGCTGTCTGGTTGGTGGGGTGGATTGTTTTCCTTCCTGCTTTTTGGGATGTCACCCTATTTTCATCTGACTGACCGATTGCTCCATTGCAGGAAAGACAGCGCTGTTGCACGCCCTGGCCAGCAGTGACGGTGTCCAGATCCGCAACACCGAGAGCATCCGTCTCCTGTTGGAAGGAGGTGAGGGCAACCTTCTCCCTTCTCCGCACACAACCTCTCCAGGCCTAGCACTGGCCGATTCTTTGTACAGCACCAGGCACTGCCTTCCCAACTCCTTTATGTTCCCGCCTGAGCAAGAGTAAAGCCAAGCAGTGCCAGAGTTAGTGCTGTCCTGGCCTTGTTGTCTGCAATGTCAGTTACTTCTCTGTCCCTTCCTCCAGGCGCAGACGTCAGGGCTACCACCAAAGAAGGTGACACCGTCTTCACCTACGTCATCTTCCTGCTGGGAGAGATGGTGTGCAGCAACACCGAGGAGGCACAGGTGATCAATCGCTTCTGCTTTCGTGTCACGCAGCTGCTGCTGGCCCACGGTGCCAACCCCAGCGAGTGCCCGGCCCCCGAGTCCCTCACTCACCTCTGCTTCAAAAGCTTCAAACGCCACTTCCCGCTGCTGCGTTTCTTGCTGGAGTCAGGTGCTGCCTACAACTGCTCCCTCCATGGTCCCTCGTGCTGGTCAGGCTTCCACATCATCTTTGAGTGCCTATGCTCGCACCTCAGTGTCTCCGAAGATGACAGCTTCTCAACAGACCTCATCCAGAAGGGTCAGACTCTGCTGGAGCTCATGATGGCCAGTTCACAAGCCATCCAGCTGCCCAGCAACTTTGAGGTCAACACCAGCAGCTGTAGGTACCACGGGGAGAAGATCAGGACTCTCTTCTGTTCTCTGAAGCAGCTGGAGCGCTCCCCGCAGGCATTGAAACATCTCTGCAGGGTCTTTATCCGGCAGCGCCTTAAACCGTGGCCAGTAGATGTCAAAATCAAGGCTCTACCTCTTCCAGACAGGCTGAAGTGGTACCTCCTCATTGACCACACTGCTGCCGGGCACGAGGACCTCTGAGCCTGACTAATGCCTCTCCGCCTCCCCCTTCCACGGTCGTGGTGTGCCCACAGCCACCAAATCTCTGCTCTGGGTCGCTTTTCTTCACAGCAGGAGGTGTTGCTGTCCACGCGCCCATGGCTTGGCCAGTGCTGCCCACGGTGCCACTCTCTGCTGCGTTTTGGGGGCTGTGCTTTTTTGGGCACGATGCCACGTGCACATCGGTGGAGGCCTCATTGCTCTGGTGCATGTTGTGGGGAGGTGGGCAGAGCTCCATGGCTCCGTGGGGGTGATGAGAGCCCCTGGGCTTCGGGGAGCTGGATACTGGGGCAGAGGGCTGGTTTGTGTGGATTTTAAGAAAAGGCCTGGCGGGCAGGACCGGTAGGGCGGTGACTGGAGAGGCAGCCTGTCCCCCCTCTCCAGCCCTGCTGGGTCTGGGGCAGGTGAAGCAGTGCCTTAGGCGACCGGCAGAGTTGTGAGATGCCTTGTGGTGCTGGGAGGTGTTCCCTGTACCGGGAGGGTGCTGGCACCCGTGTCCTGGTTTCCTGCCTCTGGTCCTGGTGGTGGAGGCAGGTCCGGCATCTCCATGTGGATGTGGATGCCTTCCTTGCTCATGTGGGCATCAGAAACCAGGAGCAGGGTGGGGGTGAGGGGAAGCGGGGCTGGCAGCGGTGGCTGGCTGCTCCACACCCTCTTGGGTTTCTGCTGGGAGCAGCCCATCTTCCTCGTACAGAGGATCGTCCATGAAGGACATCTTGGAGGCGCTGGGCTCGAAAAGGCATCTCCATGTGGATGTGGATGCCTTCCTTGCTCATGTGGGCATCAGAAACCAGGAGCAGGGTGGGGGTGAGGGGAAGCGGGGCTGGCAGCGGTGGCTGGCTGCTCCACACCCTCTTGGGTTTCTGCTGGGAGCAGCCCATCTTCCTCGTACAGAGGATCGTCCATGAAGGACATCTTGGAGGCGCTGGGCTCGAAAACAAATGGACAAATGGACGTTTCTTGGCTTTATGGTGTGTTCCTTGTGCAAGGACAAGGAATGGGCTGCTAACTGCTGAGTGCCTTGTGCGTCCCTCCCCGTTCCATGACTCTTTTTGCTGACTGCTCCCAGGACCTTGGTCTCCAGTGCCTCCTGCCCAGGAACAAGAACTTGGAGCAGGACTCGGGGTTTTCTTTCCAACTTGCTACTGGAACCTGCAAACTCTGGGCCTGCACCTGGAGGTCGCACGTCCCAGCCTCGCCACAGCTGTCTGGCTCCCCCTTCTAGGCATCCGCTTCCTTGTGATGTGCCAAAGACTGGCCGTAGAGCTTGGCTCCTCACATTGTTGGTTTGATTTTTGTTTGTCATGGGGGACAGATGCAGAAGGGGATGAAAAGAAGAAAAATCTGTTCTGAGAAGGTACAGTTTATAGCAGGTGGATCTGGGATCCACTGGCAGTTTGGCGGCAGAAGCGTTGTCTCTCCCCATTGCCCTCCTGGCAGCATCTGAGTTTTACCTTTTCCCACCCCGTGGAACTGGAACTGTGCATCTTGATGAACTGCTGTTTAAAAAAAGTGATTGAATACTCCCCTGGTGTCTGGAATGGGAAATGAGCAATTAAATGAGGCCTTCTATAATAACGACAAGGGGCTTATGTATTCTGCAGGAGAGATGGGGTGGAGGAGAGGGCTCTGTGAGGATGGGGGGAATCGTGTGCAAGCCCAGCTGGAAGGATGGGCTGCAACTGGGGTCTGTGTGTGGGCTCACCCACCTGGCAAGCGGGCGTGCCAGTGCTAGCCGAGTTGGGTTAGGTTGGCACAAGCAGTCATGCCAGTGCTGGCCGAGTTGGGTCAGGCTGGCACAAGCCAGTGGCCAGACTTGGGCAAAATGATGTGGATATGAGCAAGGAGGAGATGGGGAGTGTTCAAAGCCGGGTGATGATGTGGGTTGTTGAGGGAGCAGCTGTTGTGTTGCAGCGTTCAAGCTGGAGGTGCTGGGCACAACCGTGAGCCAGTTGTAATGGACCGGGGGGTCCGCAGGCAGCTCAGAGCACACCAGCTCTCTCCAGGGTTGCAGAGCTTTGTCTGGGTTACCCCTAGCCCTGGAGGAGGACCTGGAGGCTCCAGGATTACATCCACCTCCTTTTTTGCTGCCCATGTGGAAGACCTGCTCATGGGTTTAAAGGTGAGGCCCCCACAAAGCCCCAGAACCTGGTGTTCCCCACCCCACCCACTACAGGGAAATGGCCAAGATTTGCCCCGTTTGTGTTGCCCAGCTCGTTGCTGTGAGCAGCAGCAAGTTCAAGAGCGGGAAATGGCCAAACACCCGCGCCAGGAATGGAGCCCAGACTGTCACAGAGGTGCTCTGAGCTCCTGTTCGCTAGCAGGAGCCCTGTGCAACCACAGTCAGCAACCTGCTGGTGCCCACGGAGCACGCCCCTAGCAGGGGAGACCCTCTTGCTCCCGTACAGAGCCCCCGAAGGTGCCATCAAGCCAAAGTGCTGCATCTGACAAAGCCCACGTGCAGAAGTGCAACAGCAGGAAAATGTATTTGGCAAACACCTCTTTTTCACAAACAGCAGCAACTTGGAAGACAAAGCCCCGTCCTTGCCACCAGCCCCAGCAAGAGGGAGTCACGACACCTTTGCCGCTGTCTGCCAGCCCGCAGTGAAAGCACGGTCCTCACCCCTCCCGGCCCCGGCAGGAACCACCGTGCTGGCCTGTGCTCAGAGCTGGCCTTGGAGAGACCTTTTCCTGCTGCCCTCATCTCATGGCGAAGGTGTAGACATGGTAGATCTCATCAGGGAAGTTCTCCTGGCGTTCCTCGGCCAGAAGGTGCAGCCCAGCTCGGCGGATGATCTTACGGACCACGTCCAGGTCCCGGCAGACGCTGCTGTCCACATCGTCCATGATCACGCCCTCCTGAGCCATGTTGTCCTTGATGACCACGATGCCGTTGGGCCGCAGGCCGGCACGGCACCGCTTCAGGAAGTCGGAGAGGTGGTTGTCGGTGAGATGTCCTGGAGGGGCAGAGCAGGGGTTAGAGGGCATGGGGTGACCGGGGCAGAAGGAGGGGAGGAGACTGGGAGGCTGTGCTTGGGGTCCCTCCTGAGCCAGGCAGCCAAATACTCAAGCAATTTGCAGGTGAAAGCTTTAGCTTGGGGGTGTCCAACTTGTGTCCCACTATCCAACTCCATCCAACCCACACCTCTGCCCTGGCCTCCAAGGGCTGTGGGGAAAGAACCCATAGTACAGTGCCCTTGGAGTGCCCCTCCATGGAGCAGGGATGGGGGGGGGCAGGTCCCCAACCCAGCCCCCCACCCGTGCTGTGATGCTCATCCTTCATGCAGACCTCAAGCTGCTCTCCCCAAAACTCTCCCCAGTGTGCGGGGCACCTGCCCCTCGAGGGAAGCTGGACAGAGGACAGGCTGGTGAGACCCCGCAAGCAAAGCGACCCTCACCGATGACCCACTGGATCCAGATGACATCGTAGGAGTTTGGCTCGGGGCTAAAGTCCTGGAGGCCACAGCAGAAGTAGTTGCGCACCCGCCTGCCCTCCTCTCCCAGGTAGCTCTTGGCCTTGGTGAGGAAATCCTCCGTCACATCCACCATGTCCACCGTCTTGAAGAGGGGCAGCAGCAGCCGCTTGGTGATCCGGCCAATGCCCGCCCCGCAGTCCAGAGCACGGGTTGTCCCCGTCCGGTTGGGGCCATCCTGGAACAACAACCGTGAGGGGCTGAATCCCACCGCGAGGTACCCACCGAGGAGAAATGGGGCAACCACGTGGGATGAGGCTGTGGTATGGGGGACCTGTTGCAGGGCAAAACTCTCCCAGCATGCACGCAACGGAGGATCCCATGGAGCAACTCAGAGGGAAGAGTCCAGCTCCATACTGGGAGAAGGATGGGGCTCTGGGAGCATGACAGACCGTGCCACCTACCCGCAGAAACCTCTGCAGGAACTTCCTGGAGCTGTTGATGTCGATGCTGGAGATGTGGCCGTAGCCCCCCAGCATGCCATCGACTGTGGCGGGCACGTCCTTCCAGTACTTCTCTGCCTTGGAGTAAAACTCAAACTCGTTCTCTACCACCTCGCTCGTCATGCTGGCCAAGGGGCACGTGCCCGCAAAGGACTCGCTGCTCCTCCAAGACAGGAAAAACTGCTGGTCAGGTCCAAAAGAGCTGCAGGCGGAAAGCCCCCCCTGAACCTCAGCTCTGTGAGCATCCTAATTTCTATTTATCACCCCTTTCCCCTCCTCAGGGCTATTTCAAACCCTAAAAACCTTCAGCTGAGAGCAGGAAGGAACAAATATCTAAATCACGGTATTTTTCTGGAGACTAAGGCCAAAACCCCTTCCTGGGCAGGGATGCCCCAGCCAGACCGGGCGTCCCAGAGCCTTGCTCAGCAATACACCCAATTATATTATTATTTTTTGTTAAAGCTGACCCACTCTTTTCACCTATCCTGCCTCTTCTTTCCCTGTCTTAATGTTTTACAGATTACATGTTTATCTGTGGCGACAACCCCATCAGTCACCTCCAATTACATCTAGAGATGTTAAAACTTATCCTAAGCACCTACCTGAGGATTGTAAATCTCAGCCGTGACCATAAGTTAGATATTTGCAATATAATAAAGTCAAGGTGTAATCAGCAACAGAAGCTATAAATCCTCCCCAGGCATCTCATAATTCAAACCACTGTGGATTTGATTAACTGCGTTGGGGATTAGAAACTAGATTTAAGGTGGCCAAAGGGTAAATTCAAAGACTTCAAACACCTTTACAAATAAAGAAATATATAGTATTTGTGGATTGAATTTGCTAGCAAATATCCCATTAGACACAAAACCTTTTCTGTGGCAACTTAGGTACTTTTTTGGTGGCTCTGCGTGGTCTTGAACAGCCCGGGGACGGAGCAGGGAGGTGCAGCATCTCACCTTACAGATCACCGGTTGAAATCCAGTTTGGCTTGGTGGTTCCAGGAGCCGGTCTGCGCTGTGATCTAGGGTAAGAAAAGACGGGATTTTAGTCCCAAATCACCCCTGTAGCCTCACAAGTGTGGGCGAGGCTGACCGCAGCCCTAGGGAACTGGAGGTAGGAGACACCCCAACCCTGCAGGCACCCTCCCAGGGCAGGTGGGGGGCAGGAGCTGCTGCCGCCCCGTAGCTCAGAGGTGTCAAGAGGCTGAGCCACGGGCGGGGACAGGCGGTGTGTGGAGGGTTTTGGCCCCGCTTTAGGCAGTGCTGCTGTCCGATCTCATGGGTTGGGACTCAGGTTTGCCATCCCAGCGGTGTCACCCCTTCCTTGGCCCTGGGTTCGACGTGATGACTCCCTGGTGATGTTTTTCAGGGTGTCACGGGCCACCGGCACAGGTCGAGAGCACCCACCAGGACAACCCACTGAGACGGTTCTACCCACCAGCGTGGACCCTGGTGCTGACATCTCCCCTGAGAGCCCCCGAAACACAGCAGGTGTCCAGCTGAGGTGAAGGCAGAGCTCCGCAGCC